TCTTCCTCCTCTTCCTCCTCTTCCTCCTCTTCCTCCTCTTCCTCCTCCTCTTCCTCCTCCTCCTCCTCCTCCTCCTCCTCCTCCTCCTCCTCCTGCTGCTGTGTTTCAAACCCTGGCTGGGAGATGGGTCATCAGGAAAAGAGCTTGACATGCAAGTGTCAAGAGTTCAGATCCCTAGCACCCACACAGAAAATCAACTGGACTTCCTGTACTCCCACTGCTTGGCAATTGCAGACAGAGAATCCTGGACAAGCTAATGAGTTCCTGGTTGAACAAGAACACTCTGCCTTAGTAAATAGAGATTGGTCAAGGAAGACATCCAGTGTTAACCTGACTTCCACACCTGTGTATCTGCCCACATACATGGAAATGAACACACACACACACACACACACACACACACACACACACGTACACTCACAAATAGTAAAATAACTAAAACCTTGGTTACATATTGGTACCAGGACTCAGCATTTTAACAGACTCTGTAGGCATTTCTAGAAAGCACTGCTTGAGTATAGCCTGCAAAATTTACAGTGGGGAAACCCACTCTCTCCCTTGTTGTCCTTCTTGGGGAGGTGGTGGTGGGTGTCCTGTTCTTACCTAACAGCTTGAAGACAGCAAGTATTTTAGCTAGGATTAAAGGTATGTACTTCTTACCTAACAGCATGTCTAGCAAGATGGACTTTATTTTCAATTATGTGTATGTGTGGCTATCTCTGTGTATATATTCATGTGAGTATAGGTGCCCTCAAAGGCCAGACATTAGATCCTTCAGAGCTGAACTTACTTCTAAGTGACTGAGCCACTGGACGTGGGTTCTGGAAATGGAACGTGGGCCTTTGGAGAGCAGTACATGCTCATCCCTGCCGAGCCCCGTCCCCCTCTTTCCTGGGAGTCTCTGAGACTCCATGGCTTTGATGGGCCATCGTGAGATGGGCAAACAGTTATGAGTTTACAGTAATCTGGAACAATGCCGGGTTCTGGAGAGAAACGAATTAGGAATCTTTTTACCTTGAGTTTCAAGTCTGAGGTAAAAGTTCTCTTGTTACAGAAGGGATAAGCAACTTGAGATCATGTGACAATTTCTGCAGTCAAGTGATAACCACTCAGCATGACTCAGCTACTTTCTTGTTTAAGTTACCCAATTAGGCTGTTGGAGCACCTGTGGTAATTTTATACAGTTATCATTATTTTTCTAATTAGAGCTTAATCTTGTAGATATTTCAGTGAGGGCTATCACCAGCCCTGTTTTAGGGGAAACTTTATAATTCTGCTAAGTATGGAACTGATAAGAATAGCTATGTTAAAACATTCTCTATAGTTTGTTAACTTAAAACATGACACCTCTCCACACACACTTTGTGGTGACAGGACAGGTTTCTACCCATGGATTGCTCCCCACCCCCACCCCAGTGGCTCCCAGTTCCCTGTTTCATGGAAGTGTGCTGCAGTCAGTTCCAGGGATGACTGTAGGCTGTAAAGTTTGTACTCTCCAGAAATTGTATTCCACAATGAAGGATTTTTATTTTTCTCTCTTCAGGAAAATCCAGAGGCTACACTGACTATGTCTTTGGCACAGACTGTCTACTGTAGGAACCAAGGATTTGATCCTCAGAGTCCCCTGTGTGTGCATATAATGATGTCAGGAACTGTGACCAAGGTAAGTTCCGTGATGATAGACAGGCTTAAAAGAACGTGGTGACATTAAAAACGAAGGGAGGGATCTTTGGAGAATAAAATGCAATTGATTTGTGAGTAGGCAGAGGGTAAGAATATGTTCTAACACAGTGATTTCAACAACTAACGGCCCTGACCAGGGTCTGTCATATAGGTGTGTCTAGTAGGGACCTTATGGGGCAAAGGACCCATGTCCAGGAGCCAAATAGACTTAACATCTGGAAGGCTCATATATAAAGCACTCTTGCTAAAAACAGCTCCCCATCCAGAACCATTGCTTTCTAATTTCTTGTGGGCTCCTTGTCCCCATGTTTGATACCAACGAGAGGAGTGTCTGTTACTCGCTGGAAGGGCATTTAGACAGTTTGAGTGCTGGAGAAAAGAGGTTAAATAAGATCATTGGTGTAGTCAGGTGGTGGTGGCAACACATGTCTCTAATGCCAGCACTAAGGAAGCAGAGGCAGGTGGATCTCTGTGAGTTCGAGGCCAGCCTGGTCTATATAGTCTCATCTATATAGTGAGTTCCAGGACAGCCAGGGCTACATAGTGTGGGGCTGGGAGATGGCTCAGAGTTTGAGAGCACTGACTACTCCTCCAGAAGTCCTGAGTTCAATTCCCAGCAACCACATGGTGGCTCACAACCATATGTAGTGAGATCTGGCGCCCTCTTCTGGTGTGCAGACATACATGCAGGCAGAACACTGTATATAATAAATAAACCTTTAAACAAACAAATAAACAAAAACTCCCAATGAAACAACTATAGAAAAAAGAACTTCTGGGTGCTGGTGTGCAGATAGCAAATACACTAACCGTATTGCTGAGCCAGCAATTTGCTTTCTGATCCTTGTAGCTTCTGGTCTGAACAATCTATGGGTGCATCTCAAGGGTGGACGGTGTCCTTGACTGTCAGGAGAAATCAGGGGAGTGACAAATGCTCTGTCACTTCTACTTCTAGGCGTGTTTACCCTTCTTGTACATGCATTCAATAGAGTGGGTGCGAGGGTACTTTCAGGCCCGGGTGACACCATAGTGCTTCTGGACCATGGGCAGCGATACCTTGGAATTACCGATGAACAGCAAAGCTGCGTCCCTACCGTAGTTTCTACTTTATTTGAATGCGTTATTACAAGTTTGAAATTACAAGTTTCTCTGTTTCTCTTCAAGCTTCCCGTTTGCTCTTGACTCTTAAGATCAGAACTTGCAAGTGAGTCAGGTGTTGGGCAGGGTTTGTGGTGTGAGAACCACACCTTCTTAGCAAAAGAGAGATGAAAGAAGTATTAGAAAGGCCTGTTTCTCTCCTGTTTGTCCGTCAGGTGAATGAGACGGAAGAGGACTACGCAAGGAATTCGCTATTTGTTCGACACCCTGAGATGAAACACTGGCCTTCCAGCCATGAGTGGTTCTTTGCTAAATTAAAAATAAGCAATATCTGGGTCTTGGACTACTTTGGTGGACCTAAGGTAGTGACACCTGAAGACTATTTTAACGTCACACTGCAGTAAGTATATATACATTTTCCACCATTGCCAGACGGCAGCTCTTCCCAGCAGTTCCCCCAAGGCTGATACTGCTAGGATCACCTCTCAAAATAATAAAACACTTGGGATCACAAAAGACACTGGGCATAGAAGCACACACCTTTAATCCCAGTGCTTCAGAGTCAGGCAAGGAGAATCTTGTGAGTTCAAGGCCAGTATGAGTTCTGCATAATGAGTTCTAGGACATCCAGAGCTACTTAGTGAGATCTTGTTTAAAACAAACAAACAAACAAACAAACAAGCCTTAATCCCAACCCTCAGGAGGCTGAGGCAGGTAGATTTGGTCTCTCTGAGTTTGACGCCAATCTGTCTACAGAGAGATTTCCAGGACAACCAGGGCTATGCAGAGAAACCCTGTGTCAAATAACCAAAAAGCCAGCAAACAAACGAAGAAACGCAACTAACCAACCAACCAGCCAGAAACAACTCTTAAAATATATCTATAAAATAGTTTTAAATGTTTGATACAGAATTAGTAAGCTCACCTGTAACCCTAGACCTTGGGAGACAGAGACAGGAGGATTAGGAATTCAAGGCCAGCCTCAGCTTCACTGTGAGGCTGAAAGTCAGCTCAAGTTACAGGAAACCCTGTTTGAACCAAAACCAAGCCCAAACCAGGGGGATCTAGTAACGAGCCTATAATTCTCAGAGTAGTGAAACCTAGGGGTCTGTATTTCATGATATTTTCTACAACCACAATTATAACACAATCAGAAAGGATCTGTGGTTTATACCTTCAGAGATAATGGGGTTGATTTCAACGGGGCCACTGGAGAGAAAGGAGAAGGGTTTAAGTTCAGCAATTGGGCCCTGGGGCTTGAGTGCGAATCTCAGCGTTGCAAAAAATATAAGAATAATAAAATTACTAAGAGCTGGAGACATAGCTCAGTCCAAGGCCCTGGGTTTGGTCCGCAGTGAATCTTGTCTGGAAGTAAAGAAGCTGTATCTAAAGATGGCCTGGGCCAGGAAGAAGGGAGTGGTCCAATGTGGAGTGAGGTCAAGGGTCAAAGGACAGAAAGGGAGGGACTACAGTGTTCCCTAAGTCACCTGGATTTTGCAACATGGGACATCTATAAGCCCGAGAGGTGCAATGGCAGCTGGAGTCTGTTGAGCGTGTTTTGCTGGTCGGTGCTGTGCTAATCGCCTCCTGTGGTTAGCTAAAGTTCTCACCACACCCCTGTGAAGCAAGCACTGATTCCTAGGCTGGGAAAAGAGGGGCTTGCATAATGCCTTTCAGCCAGCAGGTGGCAGTACTGCGATTCAAGCGCTGGGCACTAACTCCCAGCCCTCTTCTGACTCCTAACCGTGTGCTGGAGCTGGAGCTGCCTCTCCAGGTTCTTTTAGTTCACTTCCTGTTTGCAATGACTGACAGTTCTGTACTAAGATACGTTTATAAGACGTGGCCGAATGAATATGGGTGCGGTAAAAAACCAAAGTAGCCCATCTATGGGCAAAAAGGGAAAACTTTATTCCAATAAACCGCCAAGGCTGTCTTCTGGGAAAGTAAGGAGAGACTGGGAAAGATTTCCAGGATTAAATGGGAACAAGAGAAAGGGGGCTGGTGAGCTGGGTGGGGTTTCTGAGCAGGGACTGAGGGAGCCCAGAGGCTAGCTGTTGACCTTGTCAAGTTCCTAGGCACCACAGTGTAAGCTAAAGGAAGACCCACGAGGTCCTTTTGCCAGAGATAAGAAGCAAGACTCCCTTTTTAGCAAGCAGGAACTTTCTTCAAGTCCCAAGGGAAAGGTGGCTTTTGTCTAAATGCCCAACCTTGGGAAAAGCTTATTTCTTTGGGGAACCAAGCAATCTTAAGTCCTGGAGCTTAAATTCTTAGTGCTTTTGCATTCTTTGTTGTTACACTATTAGAGAACAGCCCATATTAAACTATGTAAACCCTAAACGCCACCACCCCGTTCCCTGCCGCGATGGTAAATTTTAACAGCAAACTCGGAGTTCTTGTTTGTATTTCTGTATTCCGAGCAGGGCTGAGGGTGGTGCGTGACCCATGTAGCAGGTGTTTGGGGGTCAGTTGCTTATAGTCAGCTGATTGAAACAAAGACTTTCAAATTGTCTGAGTAAAGAATCCGGTTGTCCTGGCATTGATTTTGTTGCCATGCTTGTGGGAGGAGAGGCACAGGCTGCTGCCCCTCCCTGGGGCTGACCCAGCATCCTCCTTTATAGGATGTAGGAGGCAGCGGCTGTGAGATTGTTACCAGGCAGCACATTATCAAGGAGAGTGGCAATAAGAATCATGAGCTGCTCTGTGAGGTCAAAGTTTACCTTCCCAGGACATCACAACCTCCGAAGTGCAGTTATCTCTGTGTAAATAACATGCCCCAGGCAGTGCTTAGTTTAATAACAAAATAAAATTATGTATTCCCATAAGTCTTTGCTCTGAGTGAGTAAAATAGAGGCTCCTGTTCTGTTATGTAGACGGGTAAGTGCTTTTCTGGAGCTCTAAGATAAGACAGAGCCTTTGCTCTGATCCTGGGGAGAGGACGGGAGACCAGGGCAAGGCATCCAGTGTCAGTACTAGGGAAGGAGGCACCTGTCCCCTGGTGCCTCTGGCCACTGATTGCCACTTCAGAGGCTATGAAGACTGGGGTCTGCACATTCTCAGGAGCCACTAATGGGCTCCTCGTGGCATCCTGGACTTTCTCCATGTCGGAGTCACCTTGCCAGGCCTGCCCACATCAACCTCAGAAGATACTGTTTCTAAATAGCACAGTGCCTTCTGTAGCTGAAGGCCAGGATGCTGAAATGCGGACCACTCAGTCAGAGCTGCCGTGAGACCTAAGTGGTTTGTCTCATTGGATTGCTGGACCAAGCCCCTGTGCTCCTCTGCGTGTGGAGTGAAGGTGTAAATGTCTTGAGGTGTGTTTGTTGACATCCTGGAGGCAGCGGTGATTGGAACAGGCATTACTTAAATTCCTAAAACTCCTTCCATCTACCTTCAGAGTCCCGGGATTGCAGATGTGAGCCACCTTGCTAAGTGTATCAAACTCAGAGTTTTATGAGTACTGGGCAAGCATTCTCCCAACTGAGTTACATCCCAGCTCTTTTTTTTTTTTTTAATCCTTCAGAAATTCTTTTTAAATGAGAGTCCCCATAGCAATGGGTGTGTTAGCATCTCTGTGGCATTTACTAAGATGCCATACATGGAGAGGAGAGAAGCTTGCTAAAATGGATTCTTGGCCCCTTTCTGTCACCAGGACCGGGAGCCACTGAAATTAACTTAAAATATTAAACTTTTAGGTGCTGCGTTTCTCTAGTCTTTCCCAAGAATGAATGAACCTTTAAGACTGGTGAATCCAGCTCAGGAAATAATGGTCTCTCTTTCCCTCTCCAGGTGAAGCAGAATGTGGTGAACTGAATCACACCAGCAAAGTGTCTTCGAAGGCTCATGCACACTTAAAAGGGCTTGACCCTGCCTGGGACTTCCCCAGGTTGTCAGCTCACTCTGCCGCCTCTTGTTTCGATTTTGCTTGTGTTAACAGTGTTGTTCATCAGAAGATGTGGTTGCTGGATTTAAAAAAAAAGTATTTTGAAGCCATTTTTAGAGAAAAATGCCCTTCATTTTAATCAAGGATGTTTTCTTTCAGCCATTCCTGGTGGCTTTTCCTCAGTGGTGTCCACAGAAGGGCACCATAGATTAGATTGCCCATTGGCACTGAAGGTACAGAGGTACAGGCGCTTTATTCCTGATGGCCACTGTGCCTGAAGGGTGCTGTCCTCACACAGCTGCCTCAGGAGCCTGTGCAGAGGGGCCTAGAGTAGGGGACCCTGGGCAGAGCATTGGTACCGGATACAGAGTGTCCGAATGAATCCTTTAGTCAAGGACAGCAGTGACCACAGATGGAACCTCCCACTCACGTCCACCTGTGTGGCTGATCCAGCACAAGGCAAAACTCGGTCTTCTATAAAACTCCATAAATGTCTTATATCCTAAAGTCATAGTTACCCCGAACAAAGTAAGTCAAGAAGATTTTCCTACATCCATTTTCCATCTAAGTAGACTGTAGTCATTCCTCACCCTTCAAAACACACACACACACACACACACACACACACACACGAGGAGCTGGGGGGTGCAGCTTTCTTGGTAGAGTGCTTGTCTAGCATGAATGAGACCTTAGATCTCTTCCCCAGCATTGAAACAAAAACCAACCAAAAATAACATTTTTATTTTCATGAAAAAGGAATTGCAGGAATTTTACATATGTTGGGTTCTTTTTTTTGTAAGACTTGACCCAGCACCAACCATAATCCAAGCCCTCCTCGGAGTTTCTGTATCTCGAGGCTCCTGGTGCTGCAGCCTGAGTCCTCTGTGGGACCACGGTACCATGGCATAAAAACAAACAACAACAACAACAACAACATGTTTCTGGCCTAGAGGGATGGCTCAGCATTCAAGAAGATTGAATGCTTTAACAGGGACCCAAGTTCAGTTCCTGTTGCTGGAGTCAGATAGGCACAATTACCTATAACTCCAGCTCCAGGAAATCAAATACCTCTAGTCTGAGGTCACCTGTACTCAAGTGCACATACTCACACACAGACACATAATTTAAAACAATACATCTTTCTTTTTTTCAGAAGAGGTACTACTTAGTTTTATTACGTGTATTCATGCTCTTGGAAGATCTAAGATTCCTTTTAATAGAGTGAGGGATGAAGCCACTGACTTCTTAAACATCAAAAGAGTTAAATATGAGCCATCATGTTGGAGAAAGAGAAACCCAGCAAATGACTTCTCAGTAAAAACCCGCTAAACAGTAAGAATCTTGTTTTTCAAATCAAGAATTAAAAGCATCATTCTAACAAGGTGTATTGGACTGATTTCAGAGACACAGATGTTTATTAGAAAGTTTCATTGTGCACTGCTCTGTCAATGTTCTTCTGTAACCACACTTTAAACCAGCCCCCAGTTATTGCAGAACTCGAGAAGAATCATACTTTCCCCAATGGCAGAGAGCTCGTGGCCTAGAATCTGGGCAATGTCTAAATGCAGGCTTTGTCACAGGCCTTTGGGTTGCAGCATGCACTGTAGAACTAGCTTGAGGATATCTCCTCCCTTGTTTTCTCTCCTTTTTCCGTTTAACTGTGAGTTTTGTCTTAAGCACTTGGCACCATGAAAAACTATCTACATTCAGATCAAATCCAATTATCTACAGGGCGAAGCCGCCCGTTCTTCGAAGCAGGTTCCTCACATTCCTTTATAATTGAATTTGCAGACTGTCATAGTGCACTCTGTATGTCCACGAGGGGGCGCCATAGACTACTGTTAAAGCAGATTCAGACTGTGTTTTGGGTTTTGGTGGTTTGGTTTTATTTTGTTTTGTTTTCTCTATTTCTTAGTGTTTACAGACGGTAGCCTAAGGTGTCTTTAAACCTGTGATTCTCCTGCCTCAGCTTCCTAAGTACGGGGATGACAAACGCACACCATCATGCCCGGCACGGTGCCACTTTCTCACATAGGCCAATGTCCATTGTGACCATGATGGCTACATTAACATAGGCAATTGAACAGGGAAGAGGCGAGATGAAGGCCTAGTCTCACACTGCCACTGGCAGGTTCAAGGCTTGGTCGCTTCCTTCATTGGCTTTGCTTCAGACCTTGGGTCTTACACTTCACCTGCTGCAGACTGAGCCTGGGTCTTAGCTGGGATACATTGGCTGCAATTGGCAGATGTTTCCCTGCCCAAACCAT